AAAAAATAAAATAAAAAGAAAAAAAAAAATTAATAATAATCCACCACCCTTGAACAAACCCTTACCCCTAAGGAACATTAGTCATTTCCCCTTGACAGGCCTTTATAAGTCATTTCACCTGTTGAAATTATGAATAAAAGTAAATGTGACTTGCCAAAGATCAGGAAAAGTTATCTAATCTATAAGTCTCTAGCATCTATTTCCCCCTTCTAATAAGCCTTAATAGGGGGTTAATATAGGAAACAAGGTAAGAGTAAGTCTCAAAAAACAATTCACCATTTTCCATACATTCACTAGTCAAACACAAAGCATTCAGTCGAGGTTGCAAGGTTCAAATTTGAATAATCCTTTGAAAGTACCTTGGCGACTCGCTTGTGCGCTTTGTGTTTGACCAGTGAACCATTGCATGGGAATGGTGAATAGTTTTCCCCCCAGTTTTTACAGTTTATTAGAGTACAAACACTATAAGTGTGTAACATAAATACCACTAAATACTGCTAAATTATGCTAATCCTATTGTTTTTTATTGTTTAATTAGCACTATTTACTACTAAATAGTGCAAAGTGTTGCGCACTTTTCGTGTTTGTACTCTACTATTTCTTAGCAATAATGTTTTTCTTAGGCCCCACAAGAAGAGGTATAACTTATCCTCCAGACGTTATCCTCCAGAGGCCAAAAAGAAAAACATCAACAAATAAATTTGCATTGCAAAAACATCCATAGGAAAAGTGAACGATAACCTCGCTGCGAAGTATGTTCGTAATGGTGATGGAGGACGTTGTGTCTTCAAGGTGGAACCAAACTAATAGGACGTTTGCACGATGGCGTTATTGACCTCTACTACCAGACTCCCTTGCACACTTTCTTTTGTTCAGTTGATTAGCACCAATTGTCTTACTATTCTCATGAGGGAATACAAATTTAAATAAGAAAGAAAATTTGCGAAGCATCTTGGTAGTGGGAGTCAAATGACGCCATCATGCAAACGTCCTATTCAGAGCGAATTTTGGACAATTTTATTCTCGCTCGCTTCGCAAAACAACATTCATTTTTGCAATGAAACTTTATTAAATGTAGTTAAATAGTTATAGAGATGTCCTCTTGTTCTGCTCATTTTACTCATGCGCTGCTCACAGGGGCACTAGGGGCACCAGGGACACTTTAAGAAAACCGTCATCATTGAAAAGAATCGATATTAAGAATGAAACCAATGGGCATTAGAGGAACTTTTATTTCCCGCTGTTTAAACAAATAACATTTGACAGAGGGGATTAACCTTGTGAACCCAAGAAAGGTGATGCAATCAAAACCTTGTTCTGAAAGTAGTTCACAGCCTCATTAATTCAAAGTACATTTTTTTTCTTCAAATCTTACTTGAACAAGAGCTCTTTAATATTATGTTCATGTAATATATTTCTCACAATTCCCTGGTTGGGGTTTTTGTCATTCTGAAGAAGGGAAGTCGGCCTATTCTTAATTCTTGTAGAGTCAATACGTTTCATCGCTACTACGTGTACAGCCGGATGGCGTAGAACCGCAAGGATTTTAGAAACGAGACCATAACTCATTTGTTCCTGAATTCATTTTTGCAGTCAGTAAAAATTGTGGGGGAGGGGTGGGGTGGTCTGGGGCCTGGCTTTACCGGCTCCGAAAATTGTGGGGGAGGGGTGGTAGCCTGGCTCCGCCGGCTCCTCGCTCCTGATGTTGCAGAACCCTCATTTCATATCTACTAGTTTTCACATATTTATTTCCAAGTACTGCAGATATGAGCCTTACGAAAAATCAGCATCAAATCTTAAAAACGCATCGACTAAATGTTTTTTTACTAATTGTCGTTGTAAACCTTAGCCTGCGTCACATCCGGAATTTTCTTCGCAAATACGCCAGAAAGCTTGTTCTGGACCCCCCGCAAATTGCGCGTTCACGTTAGAATGAGCAATGGCTAACGGCCAATCAGAATCTATTATATATAATCGCGCAATTTGCGGCGGGTCCAGAACAAGCTTTTTGGCGTATTTACGAAGAATATTCCGGATGTGACGTAGGCTATGTAAACCTCAAATATTAGAGTTTTGCTAAAAATCAAATTTTCGCCTTTTTCTTCAAAACGACTAAAAGTTTTTTCTTTAAACTTCCTACATCAATAGACCAGAGCTTTATCTAGATGGTAGTGAAATTTCTACAGCTCGTCCTATCCACATTTTGGAGAAAACATTTTTGAAAGTGAAGTGCACCTAAGGAGCTCACCTCGTGGGTCGACAACAACGCTCTCGGTCGTTCCGCACGGTTAAGATCGGGAGAATATTTGCATAACGACATCTTCAATGACAATGTGTTTATGCAAATATTCTGCCGAACCTGTCCCGAAGTTAACATTGTAGCATGTCCAAGAGCGTTGTTGTCGACCGATATTGAATTAATTATTTCTAGGGGGTAAGTTAGTTTTGCGAAGGAAGCGAGAACAAAATTGTCCAAAATTCGCTCTGAATTAGTTTGGTTCCTTCTTAAACCCTTTAAAAAAAAGCTTGGCAAAGTATATAAAACCAGTCCGTAAGCCGAATGGTTTCAGATCGCTTTGAAGTACTGACCTTAATCGTAATTCAGCGAGTCGTTTCCAATTGATTTATATAATTAAGACAATTATTGGATGTAATAATAATTAAACAAACAAGGCAAGTGTGGATACATATGTCTAATATATCGTTTAGAAGTATCTTCTCGACAGATAAGCCGGGTAAAATACATAGTTTACGCACATTATAAGTTATGTTGCCAAAGAGTATCCTCTTTTTGTTAACGTGGCCAGAAATCTCGGATAATTTGCTCCCGCGGTCAAGTCAGCGGAATTACCCATATGAGATATATTCAATATGGCGACACTCAGGAAGAAAGACTATGGTGAGGGTTTTGATACTACCAACAATTAAACAACATTTCATCGGTCATTTTACATGAAAACAGGAAGAAAAAAGTAAAAACCTACCCAAATTATTTTGAAGTCGAAAGAATAATATCTAACACGAGTGGAACAATAGATAGGTTGTTTATATGTATTGTGAATGAAATTTCACTTGCATTTACGTATTGTTGTTTTACATAGGTAAGATTACAACTAAAATAAACCCTCAAAGTACTTTGAAGCTTTTCAAAATCATAAAAATCAAGCTGAATCGACATTTTGTTTTGTAATCCGAAAATTTGATCTCACCGGAAGTAAAAGTGCACAGTCTTTTATTATTAATTTTGGGCTTCCTTTACAAGTCGTCCCAGAACTCTCTGCGGCATGACTAAACCTTATTTTCTGAGGTTTATTTTGGTATCAAACACGCTCAGAAAATGCCTTTTAAAACGCCAAAAAGTGGCGATTTTTGTGTGTCATCTTCGCCTTCCGGAAGCAGGATACACTCGACATGGATTATTAATTTCTTTTGTGAAAAATCAAAAACTTTGACTCCCAAAAGACAAACTTTGCTGATGCTAATGACTTCCAATTTCTTCGCAGGCGATCAAAGTAAACATTGGCCTACTTAGATAGATCTTGGCAAATTAAAAATGCGTCATGGATTTTTTGGAATCAAGTGAAGATGCATGGATACTTCTGGCTAATCTATGGTGGATGCTAGGGAGATCGGCGATAGCGAAGGGCAAAATTAAAGCCATGGAAAGGCAAAGTAAGCCCATTGAATTTTACTTTTTATATAGGTTGTGTGAAATAACAATTAGTTATAGACTTCAATACAAACTTGGCAAAATAAAAAAATAATAATTCCCAAGGTTTTATTTACATGAATATTGTCGTCTGCCATACATTTTTTATATATTTTGATGCGATGTCGAAGTACTTCGATTGGGGAACTCCGCTTTGCGATCGCGGGCTGAATGTCCGAGATTTCTGGCCATGAGGGCTGTCTCCGTTATCTCCCGAAGACGTCCACAGGCCTGACTACATGCCTCAAACTCCAACTGCCAAAAACTGCTAAATACTGTTGTAAGATTCATCAATAAAACCGTTTTAAGATATTCTTAAAATAAAAGTTTGCTGCTAAGTATTGCGATGAAAATATTAAAGTGCAACTACACACTATTTTTTACATTCTTAACTGTTTGTACTGAACATTCTATTATGTTTTGTGGTATTTTGGTCACATTTGAAAAAAAAATTTGAATGCGAAAAATTGTTTTAAAAATACGAAATGTGTGGTCCGTTACCGCAGAATCAAAGCGGGAGTATGGGTCCGAGCGTGACGTCAACGCAGGCCATGACTTGTTGCTTGGTGAAGATGGACTCTGATATAGAATCTGTGGTAATCTGTGGTTGTGTTGGCCTATGGTGACGTCACACGTCACTCGACTCATTCTCCTCTGTAATTACGGCCATGGTCCACTTACTTCGACTAAAATGCTCTACAAGTATTTTCCAATCTTTGACAGAGCACCAAAACTTCGCATTTTGATGGATCTAAAAAAAAATTCAAAGAGCTGCTTTTTGTGACTTAAAGTTTTACTCCAGATCGGAAAAATAGGGTGTAGGTGCACTTTAAAGAACGTAGATCGACGAACCTTCAATGTTTTTATCGACGTTAGTTTTGAAAGCTTTTCAGTTCTTCTAGTATTTCTGCCATCGAAGGACGATTATCAGGATCTGATTGCAAGCATCTTCTTATGAGCCTTCTGATCAATTCATTGGAAACCATAGCAATTTGTTCGTTTCTTCGAGCTACATCGGGGAAATCCCGAACAAACATCTCGCAAAGCAGAACCCCGAAGCTGTACACATCAACCTAAGGGTAAAAAAGAATAGATTGAAAATATATTTTGAAACCTCTGATCTTATTCATATGACTTTTTTCTCTGACTTTTTCAAGTATTGTATTTGAATATGTCTCCTGAATGCAGTCCTAGTAGTCTCCTACCCAGCCCGGCTATTAGTGTCGTCACGCCACGCTCACTCCCCTAAGTAGCCGCTACTTAAGAGAGTGTGAGCGTCGCGCGACGACACGAATAGCTGCTGCGTAGGAGACTAAGTTCCAAGTTACCAATTTCATGTTTTCTTTGTTGTTTTTATATAATGCTAAAATACACTTTACCTTGGGTGTTTGCGTTGACGTGAGTGATTCGGGTGCTGAGTACACCGGAGCACCAGGAGCAACAGTCATAGACTGATGTAAGAAGTTGGCAGTACCAAAATCTGATACTTTTGCTCGCCAGTAAGTATTGTATTTCCAAAGTAACACGTTTGCACTGCTGATGTCTCGATGGATAATAGGTATGGGTCTAATGAGATGTAAGTAGTTTAACCCTTTGGCAACATCTAGATCAATAGTTATGATCTCACTAGAATTCAATGCACGTTCATGCAAAAGTGCTCTTAGGCTAGAATCCAAAAGTTCCGTAACAAAAAGAGGACTTTGAATATCGTTGGTTGCTCCAATAAACTGAAGAAGACAAGGATGACGGCATCTTGAAGCTATACCTATTTCACGCTCGAAAAGTCTTCTGTTGTGATCTGAGAGAATAAGCTGATGAATTTGTTTCACTGCAACTTCACATCCACGGAATTTTCCCTTTGTTACGCTACCCCAGGCTCCTTCTCCAATGAGGTTTTCGGTCATCAATATTTCATCGCGGGCAAGAACCCAATCGCAGGATTGCGTCGAAGCTCGGTATTCTTCGATAGATCGTTGCAATGTGGCTTGTGTTGCCAGGAGTTCATCGATTCTTTGCCTTTCTTCTTCTAAAGATACTTCAAGCGCTTCTTTTCTCTGGCTTATTTCTAGATGCGCTTGTCTTTCGGTTTCTAAGGTCCTTTGCAATTCATCTTTTCTCTGGTTTGTTGCTTGATGCGCTTGTCTTTCGGTTTCTAAGGTCCTT